CACGATGGTGGCAATTCCAACAGTAAATTTCCTTGTGATAATGCTTCGTCTTCGGATCTCACTCAAGGGACCCCCACTGATCAAACTGGCTTAGCAGATAATGATTTTCAAGCCCAAATTGCTTCTGATGAAGCAAATAGTGCAGCAAATCGGTATTCCCTTGGAATTGATTATTCATCAAATCTATTTCAGGTATCTATTTATGATTGAAATTTCTCTTTAATCTGTTCACATAGATGTCCAGCATTTGATCTTGTTATCATGGTCGCTATATATATATATATATATATATATATATATAGGTAGCATGATCCTTCATATGTGTGCTGGGAACAAAAATGCATGCCGGGCTATATGTAGCAAGATTATCATATGATGAGTTCTTAATTAAGTATATTGGAACTTAGAATAATTAATATATATCGTCGAGCTTGAAAGATAGATAAGATAAAAGAAAGAGGAGTTGGACAAAGTGAAACCCATCTACGTCTCATTCTTCATTCTATTTTTCTTACTGGACGTCTTGTCATACTGTGAGCTGTCCCTTTTTCTAATAACTCATATTAATTATAAATTAATTTATAAAAATACGTAAATAAATTTATTATCATGATGAGCATTATTATGATGATTTACTTACAGTATATTTGACTTTTTCTTTTTCCCCTTTCATGCCATTTATGCCCATGATTACTCTCTCTACCTATCCTGCATTTCCAACTATGTTTTTGCTTTACATTTCTGCTTTGTTACTTTGAAACGTCCCTTTCACACCTCAATTAATGCATAATAAATGCGTAAAACATACAGATCTTTAGCCCAAACAAAAATTTAGAATAGATTGATTTATTTTATACTTATGTATACATAGTGGCCCACATTACATGTCTTTGAGCTCTCTTTTGATCTTAAAGTAACAAAAGTTGCGAGTATGATGAAGTTCCTATCTTTTCGTAAAGCTTCCTTCTCAAAAATTCACTTGGACTGATATATACTCCAATATGATTGGCTTTCCCCTTCTTCACCATCTCCCATAACTTCTTTTCTTTTTGACTGACTCAAAATTAAGCGTTTTCCAAAGTGAATACATCTTTTTCTTCCCCTTACCCATTTAATAAGTTCATGATCATCAAATTGATACGTTGATTTCTAAAACTAAAGCATTTACGGCATTTCAAACTTAGTAGACTCATCTTTATCTTTAGTCACATTCTTTTTTATATCAGTGGCTGCTAGGTCTTTGGCCTATTTTAGCAAAAGCTATTCATTTATTATCAACAATTCTTCTTCTCTTAAATCATGAGATATGAAGTGAGCCACTTCTTTTCTCTCTCTCGATTAACGTTCAGTGACTAGCTAGCTTGCTAGCTTTACACAACATTCAAAATTCTTTATGAGCTACTTTTATTTTAGTTTTTACATAGAATAGCACTATCTATGCATCTGATTGGGGACTTCGTTTTCCTCAACTTCCCACTTTTTTAAGTCTTAAGTATAAACACCTTTTGCACCCCACTTAACCTAAATCTAAGTGGCTCTTTAGTTCAAATCATTGACCATGCATGCTTTCAGTGAAATCATTCTCTAGGTCATATACTTCTTCCTTCTCTTCGTTGAACCCCAAGAATGTGTGTGTGTGTCACTGGTACTCTTAGGAGTAATAATCTTGAAAGATCATAATAAAAGTTTAAATCTGAGTAAGAATAACCAGGATTAATTACACTATATCAGGATTAGTAATTAAGTACTTGAGCAGTTCTGAGATCACTTCATGTTGTTGCAGGAAATGGAGCTACAAATGTATGCTGGCATGCACTATCAACTTTCATATCCGCCACTGGAGCTTGAAGATTTCCCTCAGACAAGTTTCGTAGAGACCACGACGGAGACGAAGCCGTTAATGAAGCCAGAACAAATGATGATGAATGACTGCAATATGGTATATGATCACAAGTACAAGAGCTGTGGTACAATGAGTGGGACTCTAGAAGAGATCATCTCCTTGTGTTCTTCTCATCAAGACAATAAGTCTTTGCCTCTTTCTATGTTAGATTGATATTATAATACGTACGTACTAACCCTAGCTATATATGATGCATACTCAAAAGTACAGCACCCAAAAAAAAAAAAATTCATTTACACAAAGGTATACTTGTGTTGGCTCAAATCACAACACAAAGTGATCTTGGATTTGTTATTAGTTTTGTCAAGTCCAAGAAGGGCGCCATATATATATATAAATATATATTTATAATGTACTAAATAGGAGTATGTTGAGTCAAGGGGGCTCGCATGCATATGTTTTTTTTTCCTCACTTTATATTTCTTTCATTTCTTTTTTTTTTAATTTTCTTTTTGTTTTCTATTTTGGGGGTGGGGTTTTTGATATTTCTATTTATTTATTTATTTTGTTTTTTTTCCCATATAGCCTTACATAATGTTACTCATGTATCTGATCTTTTTCCTGATCTGCTTCTGAATGAAAATGGATTAGCAAAGTTTATTGTGCTATATATGGTTAATCTTCATTTTTGCCTTTAAGCTATTTTTGTGAGGAGTACTGATTATTCTAAACTACTCGTTGGAACAATATTTCCCTTTTTAAGAGTCAAAATCACAGGCTGCCTATGTGCTTATGGACCAACAGGGTAACAGAGTACACTAAGTTGATTGTTAATTAAGTGAGAAGACCCTACAAGTTTTGATTGACATGTGGCACACTTGATGGGAAAAATTTTTGAGTTAAGGAACATTATTTTTGCCTGTAAAATATTTATGGAGAAGCAACTAGCATCTTAAATTTAATAATATCGAGTAAATGGTATCTTACTTTTTATTGAAATATATATATATGGATATGTTTAGGATATTATATGACGTGCCAATGAGGTATTCACATTAATTAGAAAAAAAAGTCCGTCAATTAGGATCAATTAACACAGTACTATTACATATCATATACGTCTACACTATCACATGTTATACAGGTATTTGTTAGAAATTAATAAATGTTTATATTCAGTCCTATTGTTGGTTAATATAGCTTAGGGACAAATATGTTAATTAATTCAATATATATCTATATATATTTGCATATTATAAAACTAACACCGCCATCTTTATCCAAAAAAAAAAAAGGAAAAAAATTAACACTGCTATTCATAATTATAAATCATAATAATAATGTAACTTATCATAATCTCCATATAAAGCATGGATTCAAACATCGGTTGATTAATATCACATCATATGTACAGAAAAAAATAAGATAACAAATTATTTACTGTCTAAAAGTAAGATTACCTCGCATTGAGATTGAGAATAAGCCATTGCATTTGCTGGTTAAAAAAAAAAAAAAAAAACCTTGCATTCGGCTTCGGCGTTCTTCGCGGAAGAATTGCGCGCTGTTCGATTCTTCATCGTGACCATTAACGCAATCAACGTGCAGCGTAAAGCCACGTCTCCCACAGACGAAAACGCGATGGCGTTAAGGATGCCTGAAAGTTTTCTCAAGGTATACGAGATCCTGGCCGTCCGGTTGACGAAAATCCAGCCGTCTATTGTTCATGATGGAAGGCCCGACGTTTGACAGCCACGTGGGATGGAACCTAGGCCCATAAAAAATGGGTCATAGAAAGCCCAAGATCCTAACACAGGTATATATAGTTGGCCCAAGATTGCATTGACGCGAATTTTACACCATATTGGGCCTACGTCGCATCATATGCTGATGCAGCAAGCCCATTGGAAGACCATACTAACCGTAGAGCCATGAATAAAAAAAATACACCAAAAACAAAAAAAGATGGATACCGATAAGGGGAGCCCATTCAAAGGCCACACTAGCCATAGAGCGTAGAACCATGGATAAAAAAGAAATTGGATAGTAATGGAAGTTAAAAATAGTAAAAGAGGCTAGTCTCTTACAACATCACAAGCCAATGAAAGAAGTGTGCACATTATTTTAGTACCTGACAATACCTCGAACAGGATTACATCCGGTAAAAAAATAGTTGTGCTTAAGGAAAAAAAAACATGGATAATTTATTTTAGCGTGAGATGACCTCTAGTCACAACCCACAAATAGATAATTTATTCCGAAAAATTGTATAACTTCGAAGTATATTTCAAAACCTTTTTTCATTTATCTATCTTTATATAAAGGGAAAATCCTAAAAAAAATACTTCTGAAATTTTAAAATCTCAAATCAGGAATAATTATAGAAATTTATTGTTAATTGTTTTTCAAATCTTATCAATTATTATTAAAATGTAGTAAATAAGATTGATTTAAAAGTTAAAAATTTAAAAATATTTTTTGGGGCAACAACTACATTTGCATGGAGTTTTATAAGAATGTATGAACGTATGTACTTTAAAACGAAGACACGTGGTTGTACAAGAATATATGTGTAGTCTAAAAAGTAAACTCAGTAATTACCGCTTATATATATATATATATATATATATATATATATATATGACAGGCAGAAGTATTTTTCTTGCAAGCAATTTTTCTTGCCATCAATGTTAGTCTCTTACGTACGTGCATTAATTACCGCTTATATATATATATATATATATCTATATTATACACGCTCCTTCCTATCTTTAATGTAAAAAATATACTTAATTAATTTAGATAGATTAAGAAAATCCAATAGATTAATAAATTATAACACTAAAATACTCCTGTATAATATTAAATTAAATGTATCATTTTATAAGTTAGATAAATTAGTCTTTAAAAAATAATAAATAGAAAGATAAAATGAATCAATATATTATATTTAGGAGCAAATTCTGCCCTCAACTACCAATCAGGCAGTATATTACACCATATATCCAATCAACTCAACCAATTAATTTTCTATTCGGGACCGATATGCCAAGTTATATTATATGCATGTATTTCAAGCCTTATATAAATTGGAAGGTCCTCTGAGTTAAAGAAAAGGGGGAAGATTCGCGCAAATTAAAAAAAAAAATGCATAGTGTAATTTACAAATGTTACATGTGAAATGACAATAATTAACTGAAGAATATTTCGTCTAAAGTATTTTGTATAGAGTACCTGTTATGTGATACACAAATATTTCTCCCAATTAAGTTGACAGATAAGAGAAATTTAGTTACAATGACGAAATATAAACAAAATTAAAAGGAATGTCAAAGAGGGGTGCATGATCTAAAAGTTCCATGCAAGATCATCCATGGAGGAGAGGACGTCATAAGACATATATTCAGAGTTAAGTACACCTTCCAACAACCCAAAATCAAAGTTATTGCTTGACCCTTCCAAACAGTTACTATTATTATTATTAAAATGGTCCTCCTCTCTGACTTGGTCTATATTATTAGTACTGCTCTTCTCCTTCTCTTGTTCCAACTGTGCTTCAGTAATATCTCCTTGCATTAATGTCTGAGCTGATCTCAAGATCTGGTCAGTTTCAGCAATATCATCCCGAGAAACCCACAATGATGATGATGATGATGATCTGTGGTCAATATTCTCAGAAAACCCAACAAGGGAAGATAATGAGCAATCATTATAGTTGTTGTTCTTGATGCAGGCAGAAGAGGACGAAGAAAAGTTGGGCGCAGGAATATTCCCATTAATAATGGATGATTCAAAGGGGAAATTATGAGGTTCATGGACAACATTATCACTGTTAGAGACATTATGATTATTAGTGCTGGTCGAATTGGGTCGTTGGTATTGGATGGAGAAGACGGTGGAGGTACAAGGTTGTTGAAGATTCATGTTTTCAGGTTCATGAACCAGTTTGAAAGTGGAATCATTGTTATGATCATTGTTAGTGGCAGAAGAGGAAGAAACAGAAAGAGAGGGTCGTCTGTGAGAAGAGAGGAGATTGTGAGTCTGAGGGTCAAAGCCCTGAGAAATGAGTTTCTTCTTAATGCATGAGTTCCAGAAATTCTTCACCTCGTTGTCTGTTCTTCCCGGTAGATGCTTAGCTATCTGAGCCCATCTACAACCACAACACAAAATAAATCCTTAATTCACATCAATGTGTGTGTGTGTGTGTGTGTGTTTTGTGTGTTTGTCTTGTAATTTCCTGGGCGGAATTTAATTTCCAGTGCTTCTAGAATGTGAGTCGGATATCAGGAATAATAGAATAGCGGGTGTCCCGGGTAATCCTTTTTAATTCAGATTTATGGAAAGTCAAACATATAGTATGAGGGGGGAAAACAAGTAAGCTAAGAGAAATCACTACGGAAGATTTTCTTTTAAAATTTTAATAATGCGTACTCCGCTTTCATATTGTTCCTTAATTTCAAATAAATTATTATGTATTTGAAACATTCAATATAAGAGTCAGCTGAGGTTTCTGCTTTTGTCCTACATTAACGTCATTTTTTTGTCTCCACATTTATTATTATTTTCCCCAAAACTACTCATTGATTGAAATGAAGGCTATATTAGGAAAACTAACACATTTTTTTAAATAAACAACTGAATTTTTTTTTTTCAATTTATGTGAATATTAGTTATTTAGATCCGAGGAAGTAATCCCCCAAATTTAAGTACAGTGAACAGTTTTGCGATGCATTGACTGTAGCTCAGCTCAAAATTTGACATTTCTAATTGCATCAACTGGTATATGAGAACAATATTAGTATAACAAGGATCTCCAGCAACATGCAAAGATGTAACTATATATATAAGACTAACAGAGAAATATTAAATCCTTTTGAAGTGGTCGAGAGAAGCAAATAATTGCATTATATTTGCATTGCGATCGATGGATGGCAACTGGGTATTAGGTAGAGTGTAAATTAACAATGTGAAAGATGCGAAATGAATTGAGTTTGAGTTACCTGTTTCCGAGAATTCGATGAACGTCGAGAATGGTTTGTTCTTCATCGGCAGTGAAGGAACCTCTCTTGAGATCAGGTCTCAGATAGTTTATCCATCTCAGTCTGCAACTTTTCCCACATCTCTGCAACCCTACACAATGATTCATATATGTATATATATTCATCAATGATCATATTCTATTATTCTTCCATTAATTTGAGAGAGAGAGAGAGAGAGATTATGGTGTACGTGCCTGCAAGTTTAGGAACAGAACTCCAACTTTTATGGCCATGAGTGGTAATGAATTTGACGAGCTTGTCATCTTCTTCAGGAGACCACAGACCTCTTTTGATCTTCTGTTTGCTGCAGCAACGATGGCCCATCGATCTCACTCTCTTCTTCTTCGATCACTCTCTACCAATTACTGCTCTTGGACAATGCAATATGACCTTACCACCTCAGCGTTTATATATATAACACCACACACCTTTCTTTATTTTAATATTTTATCATTAATAATAACAATATCAACCCCATGCATTATTCTAGTCTTGACATTTCCTGGGACTATCCAATACAAGTGTGGACGATTTCTTATGTTATTGAAAAATTGAATATAACTTCTCAAACAAGATTTTATTATATACATCATTCCTTTTTATTATGATAATTTTTCAAATCTTGTGGTTAAAAAAAAATCATAAGCTGGGTCTGTTTAGAATGCAATATATGTATGTGAATCTAGATTAATTTTTCACAAGATCTGTATCAAAAGACAAAAGAAAAGAAAACACACAAAGGTTGATATTTTCTGTTCAGTTCATTATTGATAATTGCTAGAGCGAACTTTTTTAAGGTAAATATTGTTTAATATGAGGGTAAGTATTAACTTAATGTAACTGATTCAACAAAAAAAAACAATAGTAGAACATATCAAGCTCAAATTATAACAAACAAAAAAAAAGATCAAGATTGATCTACAATAAGCCAAGGATCAAGATTATAATATACCGATCCAAGAAACAAATAATGAAAAGAGTAAACAAAAAAGAAAGGTAAAAGAAAAGAAAAGAAAAGAAAGAATCAAATGGTCCCATTAATGTTATCATGAAATGAGAAATGAGCTGGAAATAGAATCTTCAGGTTCACTACTCATCATGAGAGGGAAGGGGGGTCTCTCTCAAACGTCAAATTGAGTGTCTTTTACATATTAACGAATTAATATTCATTTGAAAAGTAATTCGTATTAATTATTTCTATCGAAAAGACCACTAGACCAGGGTTTTTCTACATATATGTTACCCCCGACAGTGCCCAAATATAAACTAACTTCAAGAACAAGCACTTACAGCTTAATCACAATCTTCCAAAGTATGCATGCATTTGCAAAGAAAAAATTAAATGTGGGAGTAGTCACAATTACGCACGTACATGAGAATTTTCAACTGAATGGAAAAACATGAGCATGGTGAATAATTGATTATCTTCAGACTTACACGTAAGCCTACGAAAAAACACACATATTGGGGTCCCTGATTAAGTCCACTTTGGTGGGTCTTTCAACTCTATAAGAAACTATATTTAAACACTGAGAATAATTTGGCTTAATTACCCTTAATTAGAGCTAAATTTATGAAGATATTAAATTCTGAAACAGAATTAGTGAAGTTTAATTTACTATTTTTTTAGATTTCAGTAAAACATATTAAAAGTATTTTATAACTAGGATCCGGACCAGATGAGTATTTTGGATTGTATAAGTTAGGTTAATATTACCTTTATTTATCAACTAATTTAGATTCAAGTAATCACATTAAGGAGGTGTTTGGTTCACTAAAAAAAAACACTTTAAAAAAGTACTTTTATGTAAGTTGAGATAAAATTCTACTCGTATATATATTTCGTATACTATAAAATTACTTTTAAAACTATGTTTGTTTCCCACCTAAACGCTCTCTAAGACTTTAATAGAAACTATCGCAGTGGATTTATTTTTATCATTTACAAGACTCAAAGAATTCATCAAAATAACAACTTTGTTTAGGGTCTGTTTGGCATGAGAGAAATGAAAAGAAGGGAAGGAAAGAGAAAATTTTAATAAGCTCTTTTTGAAACATTTAAGAATTGGGATTAAAATTTTTTAACTAATTTTTCTTACTCTTTTATGTTACATTTTTTTATCAAAATTTTATAATCCTACTCCTCTAATTTTTTAAAATGAGCTCATTAAAATTCTCTCTTTCCTCCTCTCCATTTCCCTCTTACCAAACACACCCTTAGAGAATATTAAGTCTCTTCAATCAATCGATTATCCGTCCATTGTTAATAACTTCAGCATTAAACAGAATAATTATCAAATAGTTGCTCATAATGATAGCCATGGAAATTGTCCAATATATGACCCCCGTCAGAAGAAAAAAAAATCCCTTAACCTATCAAATCATACGCTTTAAAATTCCCTACAATCATTATGATTTCTAATATTCTCCTAATCTATATTCATGTGGCACAAAGTAGAGTACAGAAAAACTAAACATAATGTAAGCAAGTGAACTATTAAATCCCCCCCCCCCAAATAATAATTTCAATAATTTGATCAATTACGATAATAGCTCATGAAACCATGCATGTGAGTTTCTGTAAGCCCTTATGATGGTTAAAATTAAACAACAATTATTGTTGTTGTTTTGCCCCCACAACACGAAACAGTACTGCACAATTTTATTTCTAATTAATTACTTTTAAATTAATTAGTTACACTCATTCCGGGCCTTGGCTCTCCATTTTGTTATATGAATATCCCAGTTGTTCCTTACTGGTCAATTCATTAATTAACCTGACTGTTCCGTAACATAATTTTTTTTAAAAAAAAACATTTCGGAATCCAAAAGAAATTATATTGACGATAATTCAATGCCCACAAGTAAACAACTTCCTGGCTAGCAAGCTAGCAAGAAGGATTTCTTTATAAATATTATGGTAATCAATTAATCTAATTCTTCTGTGGCTTTATGAGTGCGTCGTGGGTGTGTGGGTGTGTGTGTGTGTGTGTGAGAGAGAGAGAGAGAGAGAGAGAGAAATGAAAGAAAAGAGCTTGAGTGTCTAATTCAATACTAAGTACAAATATATAGATATATATGGATGAGCATCTCGTGGGCATATTTAATTATTATATATTTATATTTTACACGAAACAAAAGTTTCAAGAAATGATAGCTGAATGTTGAAGATCCAATTTTTTAATTATTAGGGGTCAGATAAATGCAAATATCTTCACAAACTCTCTCGATCCCTCTCTAATAGCTTTTCTAGTCCTTTGCAAAGCCATTGGTCTTTTGTCATAGGCCTAAATTAAACTAGAATTTCCCAGAATACGATTCTATAAGAAACCTTAATTATTCCAATCTCAGACCCAGTATTGGTTCTTTGTTTCTTATTAACTTTGGGTAAACCCGTTTGTTAGACATTAATTATATAACCCTCCCAGAGAGTGCCTTACGTCCACATGCACATCTTTGGACGTTTTCTTGTCTGAGTGAATAATATTTGTTTCTTGTCACAGTTATTATCAAACATGTTAAGCAAATTCAATTCACTTTTTAGGGGGAAATTATTTTATTTCTACCGCAAATTCAATTTCTTCTTCAATGGAAAAATGTCCTGGAGTCTTACATGATGTAAGTGAGTTAAAGAAGCTGAAATAACATTTGATTGTCATTACTTTATTATATCCAGTGAAGTGGAGGAGTTATGTGGTATTTCTAATTGGAGTTGAAAGCTTAATGAGTACGAGACTTGATATTATAATAGGGTGTGTTAGTGAACATAGAGAAAGCAAAGATAATAACAGTTTTTTCAACCCTCACAGAGAAGAAAGGGTAGAGATAACAGTTAACTAAAGAGATAGGGTTTAGGTGAAGTGTTGGAGTGAATAAATCATTCTTACACTTCAAAGATATAATGACAGATTTTCTAATTGGTGTGCTGTGTGATGTCTAAAGTTGACTAATTAAACGACAAAACTCTAACTAATCCTTCTGCATACTCTTTATCTTACTAGACACCACTACCATGTCCCATCCTCCCCCCCCCTTTTCTCTTTCTATTACTGTCACGCTTTGATTGTTACTAGGACTTATTTGTAACACTTTCTCATATATTGAAGAATGCTTTAAGTTGATATATAATTATAATTTTTCAACTTCACTATTATTAATGTTTTCTTTGTTCTCTGTTTTTTTTCCCTATACTTACAATTCATTCGCATTTGTCTCTTCTCTTTCTCTCAACAAGAATTAAATAAAAATAAAATTAGAAAAAAGTCATTAAATATCCTACAAATGACTTGTATTTAAATAAAAATTTATTCTACAAGTGACTTATTTATAATAAGGACCACATTTGTATGCTGAGTCCTAAATAAAAGACTTAATAAAATAATTTATAAAAATTAAAAAATTAATTAAATTGATTATTTGTTATTATTATATGAAATTTTTTTTGTCATTTTTCATAAAATACCCCTATTTCAATGAGGATATTAAATGTGAGAAACATAAAAAAATAAATTAATTTTTTCCAAACATGTTTGGGACTACATCAACTAGACTCAATCATATATTCACGACCTGAAGGAATGTTGACAGTTTTGGGTCCAAAGTATCACTTGAATCCGGTCCAAACCTAGTCGTTGGGCTTTTCTATAGTTGTCTAATGTAGTTGTACCATGGGATAAAAAAAAAAGAATAAGACAAATGGGGAGTGTTACATTTTCATATTTCAGCTGGGGGTAGAATTTCTTTTTATAAAAATAAAATTATTTAATTTTTTTTAAAAAATAGTAATAAGTATAGGGGAAGCATTTTCCCCCTTCTATAATTAAAGAAAATTATATTAAGAGAGTTCTTGCTAACCCATTAGTGCTCATTTGGATCAAATATAAATCGGTATTATAATATTAAATACCTAATTGTGCGTTAAAAAAAAAAGATAAAATAGAGGTTTCAACCACGGTAATATAACCACCAATATATTATATGATCCAACTATGCATGGAAACTAAAATGTTGGTTAGAATATGTCGTCTAAGCATGGTATAATAATCATTTGATGGTAATTATTACAATGTACAATGAATTTTTGATATAATATGCGTTGTGTTGGGGTGTGCACACACACATGCATGTTATTTGAATTATATATAAAAAAAACAGAAGCTTATCAACAAATCATTTTTTTTGACTAATTACCATAAAATTTACAAAATATAAAATGTTACATATTAGTAAAATTGATGACTAACAAGCTGTGAAAAACACTGGATTGTATTATGTATGAAAAAACAGCGGATTATTAACAGACAGGAATATCGATAATTATTACAGGCATTATTAGAGAACCAGCAGAAAAGGGAACTATGTTTCTCAAATTTGGATATAGTTTAACAACATTTATTTAGAATAAATTTCTTATCTTTTAAGATATTTACTTTCTTAATCTTCAATAATAATAAAATTTCCAATTGAACCAACACATTCACTTCTTGGGGGGGGGGGGAATCAAAACATCCGTTTTAATATGGTTGGATCCTGAAAGAGTTTCTTTTTTTTTTTTTTGCCCCCCTTCTCGGCTCATATTTTTGCAGGCAAATTTTTCCAAATAAAACAAAACTTTCTATTGAGAATTTTTATTACACAATTTACATAAAAGAATAACTCGATATGCTAAAAAGGTACGATTGAATTAACAATACAATCTTATTATTAAACTTAAACAAGTAATTAACTAATTCTATTTTTTTCATTGGTGGAACAAATAATTCTATTTTTTTGAAACGAAATTCACTCGAGAATGTGTTATGAAAAAAATTCTATATCAGCCATCTGTCCAATAATAATTTAGACTATAGTATGAGTTTCTCGTCCCATAGGAATTTTATACTTCAGTAACCTTTAGACCCAAGTCACTCTCAATTTTTTTTTTGGGTCTAAAATATTTCTTAAGTTGGGATTAACAACCATTCGATTGACGTTATGTCTTTTAAAGAGGAATGAGAAACAGAAATCCCGAAATTTGAATATATAGTCAGACACGTACATGTATATTGCAAAACACTCGATTTGCTGGCTATAATAGCTTCTAAAATGGATAGTGTTAATCTCGGGAGATCCACTCATTGATTTTTTGCCCCCATTTGACCAGTGAATAAATTCCATTAAACAACTAAAGAAATTAAACGTAACGGTAAAAATTTAAATAACAACATTATTATATCTAATGGCAACGATGGGGTATAATAGCAAGAAGATAACGGATTCAAATCCTCCAGATGTACCAATGAAAAAACCAAGAAAGAAAGAAAAAGAAGCCAAACCGACTCAACGAACCACAAAACACAAACAACTCGAACCTGAAAACTAAAGCCAAAAAAAAAAACACAGAACCATGGAAACTGATGATGAAGAAAAATGGGTACATGATCTGGAACAAAACCCCAGCGCCACGAACAAGCGTCTCAACCACTTGAAGGAAGAAGCCTCTAATAAGTGATTGGAGGCGATTCAGGTGATTGTTCAGGATTGGGACCAGAAGGAACAAGCCTCTTGATATTATTATAGTTGCTAGAAGCGACATGTGGTGAATCAGGTGAACGCTGAGAATTAGGACCAGAAGGAACAAGCCTCTTGATGTTGTTGTAGTTCAAATTGTTATGATCAGATGTGAGAGGAGGAGGATCAGGTGAAGTCTCAGGATTGGGACCTGAAGGAACCAGTCTCTTAATCTCATCATGATGCCTACTCACAGCAAGAGAGACTAAGAGAAGAAAGCAGATTGCAGAAGAAAGCAAATGAACTTTTGAGTTCGTCATTTTGATGCCTTCACAAACCCAACTCAATGATAAATAAGCATATGTATGTGTATTAATATATATCTCTCAACAATGCTACATATATACATATATCAGCAAGGATTAATTTGTTGGTAATTAGGGGAGGTGCAATTTTTGCAAGTCATTAATATTGATGATTTTTTGGGGGGACTATATAATGATATCCATAATGGAAATTCGTACATTATTGGAGCCTCAAATGAATGAGGTAAGGTGCATGAAACCTAATGAATATATTTTCTTTTATTTTAAATTTTATCATTAAAATCTTTGAATTTATTGAACTGTCTCACCATAGTCGGTAAACATTTATCATACTTTTATAATTCTACTTATAAGTCTCTTACAATATGTTTTATCGTAATGGAGAAAAGCCTTAATTGTGTCTTATTAAAATTTTATCTTCAAATTTTGCTCTTATATGATATATACATTTTTCAACAAAAATAACAATCTATACATAAAATAGTATGTATATACATTCTTTAACCTGTATATACATTCTTGTTAAAAATGGAATATTATAACTTATAAATAGAATAAAAAGATCTTCTTTCTGTCCCTTATTCATTATAAATAGGATTAAAGGAGTATATATGAATGGCCTAAATACTGATCAACGCTGACAATAATGGTAATCTGAGATTTTCTCTTTATTGGTTGCAAGGATTTTGCTCCTTTCTTTTTTTTGGGGCCATCGATTTTGCGCTATTTGCTACAATGAATAGGTTTCGATATATTTTGTAGAAATTAATGCTTGGTACATTCACAAAACAGTTAATTTCCAACTTATATTATTTTGGTTTTACAGGCTAATCAAAGATATTTTCTATTTAATGTTGTCAAAATACAATATGTATGTCTGTTGCGGATTAACTTGATTTGGAAAACAATGACATCATATCTTGGCAATTAATGTGGTTCCTAAAAATATTAACCCACTATTTAATTTTCATACAGAAAAAAACTTCAGCCCACATAATCACATTATTGTTATATCTACCAACTGTTGGGTTTGGTACTGATTTCATTAATATGTGATTTTAGTGACTGAGAAATTCAAAAACGTTTGGGCTAAAGTTAATCCATTAGACTGGCCCAATACAACCCAGCCCAAGAAAAACTACACCAGCTACAAGCCCATATGAGATAACTACGCCAGCGACAAAGCCCATATGAGATACAACAGACCTTAATTCCTTGCATTATCCTTTTGAATATTCATTTGTTCCTTATTTCTGCATACACGTGGCCTCATTTATAAACTTTCCTTCTTCAGATAATTTATCTGAGAATTAAGAAGCCATTCAAAAACATTTGGTGCTCCAGGCTGATCCAAGAAGACTATTATTCAATATATATATATATATATATATAATATTGACAATATATATAGCTTCTGCTTCACACACACACACATATGTGTAAGTGTGTGTGTGTGCTTATACATTTCTGCTTTCTTTCCTCTCCTGTTGATCCATAGTATCAGAGAGAGTAAGTCCTGTGGTTTCAAACAACTGTAGAATACAAGAAGCACTACATAATATAACCACCCCAAACACGCCATAAGAGAACAAGTCATTTTTCCTTCCTTCTGATATCAAAAATGGGCTGAATATGGCTCCAAACACAATGGCCTGCCTCGCCATTGATGTTGCAATATTCCTCACACATGTAGGGAATAGCTCTATTACGTATATCAGAAACATATTAAAAGCTGTCCCAACACTGAAGAATGAGATCAAAGCAAGCCCTAGTTTCATTTTGCGAAGAATCTCATCATTTGTAGTGATCACACCACAAATCAAACAACTAATCCCAGTTGCTATACAGAAGCCCAGAATTGAAGGCTTTCTCCTGCAATTATCCAACAAGTAAGTGGCTATGAAAGCTGGTATGTCCAGTAAAGCATTAAAGAAAGTACTCAGATATATGTTGAAGCCTAAGTTTCCCATGTTCAAAGGAATGCCAAAATACACCATTCCAATCCCAAAGCCAAGCACCATAACTGCTAATAATCGTTTAAGAGCCCAAGTTTTCTCATAAAGTTCTCTAATCGATGAGTAGGGGTTGGAAGAAGTTGAAGAAGCACTACTTTGTTGTTGAGCAAGTTCTGCTAATTGACTTGAAGTTATGGTTCCGCCATGTTCTTCTGTTGAATCAGGAGTGATTCCTTTGAGCATAGCCATGGCTTCTTTTTCTCGACCTCGCATGAGAAGCCACCTTGGAGACTCTGTGACAAAAATGTAAGCGAAAAGGGAGTAGAAAATTCCAGGAATTGAAGTCCACAGGTAAAGAGACTTCCATGACGAATGTCTGTGAACATAAGCTATACCAGGCAAGGACATAAACCCTAATGTGAACCAAATATACTCGAGGACACCAACTCGAAATCTCCACTCTTTTTGAACTCTTTCTGTCAGCAAAACCAGAGAACAAGTTCCGATCGATGAGCGGCAAAACCCAATCAGAAACTTGAAAGCTGAGTAGACCCAGACGTTGGGGGAAAACACAATGATGCTTGAAACAATCGACATGGTTAAACAAGAGAGAAAGAGCAGGTTCTTCCTGCCAAGGGATGAATCAGCGGACGAGGCAAGAAGAAAGCCAGCAAGCAAGCAACCCATGAAGAAGGAAGATTGAGGTAAGCCTGTAATGAAGGAACTGGCACATTCAAGATGCCACTGGGATATGATTGTCTTAGGGGAGAGACCATCCCAAGCCCACGAAGAAGATCTTGGAATCTTGCAGATATCAGAAGCTTCTGAAGGGTGAGCATCAGTGAAGATACTGATGAATGATTGTTGTGCATCGAAGAACATTGAGAAGGACACAAGGAGAGATTGAAGGAGTTGAGTCCAACCAAAGCTTCCAAGGCTTATTTCTATTATATCGTCCAAAGATGGCTGTGATGAAGCTTCCCTCCTTTCTAAATCAGATACAGGTAAAGTTTGGTTTGGCTCTGCCATTTCTGTGACGTTTTGTTGTTTTGATAGAGTTAAACTCTTAATTATATACCTGGAGATGGAGGAGAAAGAATGAAACCAAAATCTTAATGAATTAGAGTGAGTGATAAAAAGAGGCCTTGAAGTGATATATTAATGTAAAATTAATACTGATTTAAATATTTTAAATCAATCGACTTAAGAAGAAATCAAAGAGACGAACCCATCTTGTTTCAAGTGAAGAGACAAAAACAAAACACCTTTTGTTGAACTGAAAAGGTCTTTTTGTACAGCTATACAAAAGGTATTTATCCACATTCAAATTTTAAATTGAAAAAAAAAAAGTAGCATTTATGCATATATTTTAAAAAAAACAGCAGCCGGCAAAATGGAAAAAGAGGACGTCGTGTCCATGATGTGGGTCAGCCGGCCCATCATGGATTGGACGAATTGGGCCCAGTATGTATAACTTATTATAACACTTTTTTTTCCTTTGAAATCTTAGATCCTAATCTCAATTCCCCAATTTTATCTTGGGGGTACTTGAATGAAAATTAAATTATAATTTTAAAAATAATTTCATGATATATGAAGTAAATATATGGACGAATTCATCTCATTTACAAAAAAAAATGTTTTTAAAAAGTATTTTTAATTATATCCAAACACTTTCTTAATTTTTCAAGGTAATCCGGTATTACTCCTTGCATCAATGACTTGGCAACTGGTCATATTCAATGAACCACGTGGCAATCAGCAAAGGTTGAAGCATCATATTAAATGAACCACGTGGCACTAGCTATATCGTACATATTATTACATCAATTTTATTTTTGATATATACATATAATTAATCAGAAAGTTGCTGTTAATTCTTACTTATCATTTGTTATTTATTTTTAATTACAATAATTTTTTCGGTAACAAAAAAGTGTTTAGTTTATTAATTATATTCATATATAATATAGTTGGTTATGATGAGCAAAATGTACTAAGCATTGCAATTAGCTCCATACTTAAGTTCACACTGGCTATAAACGACCAAAATCCATCTTAATTTTACTTCTAAAATAAACAAAGCTGATAAATATTTCAACACTTATAGTCGTGTGCACCATACTATTGGCCAATATATACAAACGCATAACGCTTGATTTCCACAAAGAAAAAACATAATTACGAGTAATGTCGAAACAAAAAAAAAAATAATGCTGCTCTCCTTGACTATTCAGATAATAATTAAGTTCAATGAGAAATTAAACATAATTTTCTCTAGAAATAAAAACAAAACAAAAACCAAAAAAAAAACCCCCTCAAAATGGAGCTCCAAAACATGCACTAGTATATTAAAGAAATCAGAGCAACTTTTCAGAATTCAGACTGAAACGAACAAGCCTCTTCTCATCAATTCATCGATCCCTTATTAGTAGGAAGTGGAACAATGCCATCGTGCAAGGGATTGGGACCCGAAGGAACAAGCCTCTGCATGTTATAGTTCACGTTTGAATGTGGCGATTCAGGTGATTTCTCATTATTCGGACCTGCACCAACAAAACAAGTCTCTTAAGAAAAAACAATACTTTGATCATAAGTTAACATAGAAAAATAAATAACAAAGACTAGCGTGTGTAGCACTTCATGAGAGATTCGCAAAATTTAATATTCATTTCAGAATTTAAACCTGAAGGAACAAGCCTCTTCATGTTACAGTTCATGTTTGAATGTGGCGATTCAGGTGATTTCTCTTGATTTGGACCTGCACCAACAAAACAAGTCTCTTAAAAAAAAACAACACTTTGATCATAAGTTCACATAGAAAAATGAATAACAAAGACTCGTGTGTGTGTCTGTCACTTCGTATAGTTTATTAGCTTACTAAGAGATTTGCAAAATTTAATGTTCACGTCAGAATTTAAACCTGAAGGAACAAGCCTCTTCATGTTATAGTTCATGTTTGAATGTGGCGACTCAGGTGATTTCTCTTGATTTGGACCTGCACCAACAAAACAAGTCTCTTAAAAAAAAACAACACTTTGATCATAAGTTCACATAGAAAAATGAATAACAAAGACTCGTGTGTGTGTCTGTCACTTCGTATAGTTTATTAGCTTACTAAGAGATTTGCAAAATTTAATGTTCATGTCAGAATTTAAACCTGAAGGAACGAGCCTCTTCATGTTATAGTTCATGTTTGAATGTGGCGATTCAGGTGATTTCTCCTGATTTGGACCTGCACCAACAAAACGAGTCTCTTAAAAGGAAAAAAAAAAAAAAACAACACTTTGATCATAAGTTAACATAGAAAAATGAACAACAAAGGCTAGTGTGTGTGTCTCTAGCACTTCATATAGTTCATGAGCTTAGTGAGAGATTTGCAAAATTTAATGTTCATATCAGAATTTAATTAAACCTGAAGGAACAAGCCTCTTCATGCCATAGTTGACATAAGGACCATAGATGGCTGAAACAGAAGAAGACGGTTTCTGAAAAGCTTGTTCAGGGTTAGAAGAACCAGAAGGAACGACGCTCGAGAGGATTAGACGATCGCTGGCCACAAGGGAGACGAAGAGAAAAGAGACAGCACAAAATAGACTTATCTTTGAGCTTTCCATCTTGCTCTGTATAGCCCTAGCTACTGCGTTTGAATGCCAAGCAATATCGATGTTTTGTATCGTATATATATAGGGCCATGATCACTAATTTCTTCGAGGCCAAGAATATTCTCTTAATATTTATTAGTCATAACGATGATTTACGGATTAAAGATTTGATGTCTCGGCAATTAATTAGGGTGCGGCTATCATCCCAGAAATTATTTTGTAATAAATTATTGAAGATCTGAATATACGTGTTGAATCAATATATGATATCATATTGAAGAAAGCGTATATTTAGTTTTTTTAACTTTATATAAAATTTCAGTTTTGTTTCTTAAATTTAAAAAGTATGTTTTTAATTTTTTAACTTTAAAATTGTTAATTTTAAATTATGATTTTTATAACAATTATGATTATTTTAAAAATTAAACTTAATATGTTAGTATTTAAAAATGTTTTATCAACATTCAAAATCACAATATCATATTTTTTATTAGTAGTTTTATGTCTAAAATATTAAAAATATTTTTTTAAAGTTAAGAGACTAAATTAAAATTTTATATAAAATCAAAAGACTAAAAATATACTTTAACTCATCATATTTAAATGAAATATTATATTATACGTGTCTTTATTTATATGAGAGACAAAAAGATGTCGAAAATCCGTGTCTCATTCTTTCTCTGTTGTTGACCATATCGATTAATTCTGTTAGTGGATCAATTGTCATAATTAGTTTCATATAATTATTTTTCAATTACAAGGATTATTGAGTTTGATTGTAGAATTTGATTGATTATCGTATATATTTAGATTTTAATTGGTTTATTTTATGCTTTATAATAACAAAATCACGGTAATAGTTTTTCAAAATATTGTGAATCTCAAAAGTATGATATTCGTCGAGGACATAAATGTATTGTCAATAATTTCTATAACTTTCAAATTCACGATTGAGCAAGATTTCCTTTAATTGATTCAAATTTTTCCATCACTTTGCTAAAATAATCAAAAGCCGACAATATAAGTTGAGCTTGAAAATTCAACCCACCAAAAAGTAAATTTAATTTGTTCTTTTAATGTCATCTAAAAGTTTGGGGGCGCTTTATACCACGGCGTACGTCCCCTTCTTCATATTTTTCTTGTTGGTTTCTTGCATTTTCAGTAATGGAGAACTATTTTTCTTGGTGTGACCATTCACAAATCATGACCTAGGCTGTAATCAGAGTAAAACGAGAAAAATAAAGTTAAATGAACTCAATTAATTTTGTGGATGAGTGAAGTTAAGTTTAGGTGATTGGTTTGTGATTGATTGCAGTGTGCTTCAGATTTAACTCGAGTTAGTCATACAATTTTAATTTAGATTTTCCTTAATTAATTTTGTCATTAAACCCTTATTTCTTTTTAAAGAAATTTTCATTCAAGTAGCTAAATAATTGATTCTTAAAGAGGCCACTTGAGTTACACTTTACCACAAAATTTAATTTTATATTAATTTGGACAATACCTAGGTTAAGCTTTTTATATTTATCATATCAAGTTTTCTAATCATATATGGATATATTTTCTATTTTGAAAATATTATCATTAAATTATAAACCCATATGAAAAAAAAAAGATAGTTATGTGTTACTGAAGAATTTGACATAAAAAATATAAAAAAATTTAATGTAAGTAACTTTTTTTTCTATTAATTTTAGCATTACTTGATAGTAGAAGAGCCAGGTCATCAAAGTCTCATAACATGCAACGTGACAATTTATTTATTATCTTTGACTATGAGTCCTTGGCTACAGCTTGCCTTCCATGTGTATCCTCATCTTCGTCAAACAAGCCACCGCCATTAAGACCTCCAATATTAAGATTCCACCAACCAATCAGGATTTTGTATTCTATCTTTCCAAATGAATGTAATTCTATCTGAAGCACTTCCTAACACTAAATGTTGACTTTTCTTTCAGTAAGAGTTTGAATATTGATTTATTACGTTGTAAGGGATTTTTTTTTTTTTTTAACTAAACCCAACCAATCCCCATTGGTTGTATCCTTCCAATTTTATGGGATATGTCTAAGATTTGTATGAGTTACTCTATTCATATTGGTTGATTCTTCAGAACATCAAAGCATTGTTAGCTTTCGAACTGAAATTGATTATCTGTATATCTTGTGATTTGTGAATATATATATATATATATATATATATTGTGCCATTTAGTTTCTGAAAATATATACCAAAAATTAGATCTCCAAAATTTGCTATATAAAGTCCTGCTCAAAGCATTAATTCCAACACTAACTACTAAATCTGAAACAACGTACCTGATTCTGATATACTAATTATCCGCGTGCTCTTCCTTTTAACTCTGTGTGTGT